TTCTGCCTCCCTCTTCCACTTTTAGGTATGCTTGTAATTATATTTGGATCCACCTGGATAATCCATAATAAACTCCTGCATGGTTTCTGCTTAGTAGTCCAAGCTTATTCTTACTGACTCTCCTTTGTAGATGACTTTTCATTTATCCCTAGCCGCTCTTAAAATTCTCTCTTTATCTTTGGTTCTGGCAAGTTTGATTATATGTCTTGGTGACTTTCTTTTGGGATCTACTTTATGTGGGGTTCAATGTGCATCTTGGATAGATACCTTCTCATCTTTCATGATAGGGAAATTTTCTGCCAACAAATCTTCAACAATTCTCTCTGTATTTTGTTATACCCCCTTGTTCTGATACTCCAGTCACTCATAGGTTATTCCTCTTGATAAAGTCCCACATAATTCTTAGGATTTCTTCATTTTTTTTTTTATCCTTTTATCCGATTTTTCCTCAAATAAGTTGGTGTTAAGTGCTTTATCTTCGGTCTCACTCATTCTGACTTCCACTGCCTCAATTCTGCTTCTATGATTTTCTAATGAGTTGTCTAATTTTGAAATTTTATTGTTCATCTTCTGGATTTCTGATTGCTGTCTCTATGGATTCTTGCAGCCTGTTAAATTTGTCATTATGCTTTTCTCTAATCTTTTTAATTTCTTCTATTGCATGTTCTGCATTTTGATTAATTTCCTTCCAAATTTCTTGAAGAGTTCTGTATATCAATCTTTTGTATTCTGCCTCTGAAAATTCCAAGAAATTTTCCTCCTCTGGAAAATTTCTGGATTCTTTATTTTGGGAGCTTGCTGAAGCCTTCATGGATTGCCTCTTTATGTGATTTGATATTGACTGTTGTCTCCGAGTCATCGATAAGTTATTATATTTATTTATGTTTGCTTACTGTGTCCTAGCTTCTTGTTTTGTTTTTATATGCCCAGATAGGCTGCTTATATGAGCTAGTTTGATTATTGGCATCTTTGAAGCTCTAATGTCCTGTCACCAGGTGGTTAGATCTGTTACTAGGTATGTGAGCTCAGAAGTCTGCCCACTCCTCCTGTATGGATTCAGCTCAGGTGCCCAGGTAGATAGCCACCAATTGTGTGGTGTAGGCTCTCACTTACAGTCCTAGACAGGCATGGGTGATTGGTGTAGGCACAGGCATCTGGCTGCAGCAGGGGGGCACACTCTGAGCAATGCAGGGGGCTGACGGCCACCCCCCAGTGTCCAGGAGGAAGGCATGTCCCTGTTCCCTAGAGCGCATAGGTGGGTAGGTTTTGCAGCTGGACTATGAGCACCTAATGCTGTTGGCTGTAAGGGCTGGGGGAGCACCTTTTATTCATGGGCCCCTATTGCAGGTGGCCAGGTGGCATGGGTGGAGCCACCAGTCCTCAGGCCTCTGATATGGGTAGGTGAAGACCCTGCTTAATGGGCAGAGCAGTGTCAAATGTCAAGAACCTGCCACTTCACAGCTGAAACAGTTGAAGTTAGGCTTCTGGTATATACCCTGTTGTACTGAAGTAATGAGGGCCTACGCTGTAGAGATGGGCCCACACAAGTCTATGGAAGGTGAAAGGCACTCAAAGTCCGTGGATCCCTTATGCCTGTGCCTAGGCAAAGGAGCTGTGCCTATCCTGAGTTCCTGGGTTAGGGGAGCTGGCAGTTTAGTTTTTCCTCTACTTGTTAATTTGTTCACTCTCCATGGCAGGGAGAATGGCTCTGGGCATGTGACGGATCCTACTTCCAGAGCAGGGGACTTGGCAATTGCTGAAGCCGGTGTAGGACCCAGTGCAGAGCAGGGAGCAGGGAGGTAAATGGGAGAGAGGTTTTTCCCTAAGGGGCTTGGTTTTGATCCGTGTGTTAGGCTGTATGCAATTACTTATCTTTTGCCAATGAAGGCTGCTTCCCACTGGCTCTGGGTGGCCATGTAGACTCTCTGGCGCTGGGTCTCTCCTGGTATGGAAAACGCGCTTTCTGAGCACTGCTGTTTGCCTGCCTCATGGCTCAACCCCGAGCTGCTCAGGCCTAAAGGGCTCAGGCTCTCGCCGGGTCAGGTCTGGCAACTGCTCGCTGCTTCCAAACTGTCTCTCCCTCCCCTTGCCACTCAGTCCGGTTCCTCAACTCTGCCTTTGATGTTCAGGGCTCCCAGATTGCCATATATAATTAATTCACTTGTTTTTTCGGGTCTTCATTGTAAGAGGGTCCACTGGAAACGTCTGACTACTCTTGCCATCTTGGCCCCGCCTCCAGAGTTATTATTATTGATGCTCAGTTTATTCCATCTTGAGCCAGTGGAAGCCTCTTCAGGTTATTTCCCAGTTCCTTTTGGCATAACCCCATCATTTTTGATAACTTTTTTACTATCTGTTATGACAAGATTCTCCCGCCTCATCTTGTACATTTCTTGCCTTAACCCGGAATCAACCATTTCTCCAAGCAGCCCTGATTTCTTTTAGTGGGAAATGGTATTTCAAGAACAGCCTGGGTCATAACTGGATATCCATCTGCAAAAAAAATGAAACAAGACCCATACCTCACACCATGCACAAAAAGTAACTCAATATGGATCAAAGACCTAAATATAAAATCTAAAACGATAAGCATAATGGAAGTAAAAATTGGGATAATGCTAGGAGCCGAGCCCTAACACATGGCATAAACAGAATACAAAACATTAGTAACAGTGTAAAAACACCAGAAGAGAAACTAGATAACTGGGAGCTCCTATAAATCAAACACTAATCCTCATCAAAAGACTTCATCAAAAGAGTCAAAAGACAACCTACAGACTGGGAATAATTTTTGGCTACAACGAATCCGATCAGCATCTAATCTCTAAAACCTACAAGATACTGCAAAACCTCAGCAACAAAAAGACAAATAACCCAATTAAAATATGGGCAAAAGATATGAACAGCCACTTCACCAAAGAAGACATTCAGACGGCTAACAGATACATGAGAAAATGCTCACGATCATTAGCCATTAGAGAAATGCAAAGCAAAACTACAATGAGATACCATCTCACTCCAAAAAGGCTAGAATCAATCCAAAAAACACAAAATAATAAATGTTGGAGAGATTATGGAGAGACTGGAACACTTATACACTGTTGGTGGGAATGTAAAATGGTACAACCACTTTGGAAATCAATTTGGTGCTTCCTTAAAAAGCTAGAAATAGAATTACCATATGATCCAGCTATCCCACTCCTTGGAATATATCCTAGAGAAATAAGAGCTGTCACACAAATAGGTATATGCACACCCATGTTAATTGCAGCACAGTTCACAGTAGCAAAAAATGGAAACAACCTAGGTGCCCATCAATGGATTAATGGATAAACAAATTGTGGTATAGTCACACAGTGGAATACTATTCAATGATAAAGAATAACGATGAATATGTGAAACATAGATGAATCTGGAAGGCAGTATGTTGAGTGAAATTAGTCGCAAAAGGATGAATATTGTATTAGAACCGCTATTATAAGAACTCAAGAAAAGATTTAAACACAGAAAACATTCTTTGATGGTGGGAAGGGAAGGAGAGGGGTACTGACTAACTAGATAGTAGACAAGAATTATCTTAGGTGAAGGGAAGGACAACACATAACACAAGGGAAGTCAGCACAACTGGACTAAACCAAAGCTAAGAAGTTTCCTGAATACAACCAAACGCTTTGAGGGACAGAGTAGCAGGGGCAGGGTTTTGGGGACTATGGTTTCAGGAGACATCTAGGTCAATTGGCATAACCAAGTTTATTAAGAAAATGTTCTGCATCCCACTTTGGTGAGTGGTGTCTGGGGTCTTAAAAGCTAGCGAGTGACCATCTAAGATACATCAATTAGTTCCAATCCACCTGGACCAAAGGAGAATGAACACCAAAGACACAAGGAAAATATTAGCCCAAGAGACAGAAAGGGCCACGTAAACCAGAGACTCCATCAGCCTGAGACCAGAAGAACTAGATGGTGTCCAGCTACCACCAATGGCTGCCCTGACAGGGAACACAACAGAGAGTCCCTGACAGAGCTGGAGAAAAGTGGGGTGCAGAACTCAAATTCATGTAAAAAGACGAGGCTTAACGGTCTGACTGAGACTGAAGAGACTCCAGAAGACATGGCCTCCAGACTCTCCGTTAGCCCAGAACTGAAACCATTCCCGAAGCCAACTCTTCAGACAAAGATTAGACTGGGGTATAAGACATAAAATGATACTGGTGAAGAGAGTGCTTCTTAGCTCAAGTAGATACATGAGACTAAACGGGCAGCTCCTGTCCAGAGGTGAGATGAGAAGGCAAAAAGGGACAGGAACTGGTTGAATGGACACAGGAAATCCAGGGTGGAAAGGAGGAGTGTGCTGTCACATTATAGGAATAGCAGCTAGGGTCACATAGCAATGTGTGTATAAATTTTTGTATGAGAAACTGACTTGAACTGTAAACTTTCACTTAAAGCACAATTAAAAAAAAACAACAACAAAGACCAGCCTGGGTGCTAGGGATGCTTATTGCTACTGGATTTTTCATTGTTTCTAGGCCTAAAATTAAAATACATGATAACAATAACATAAAAGGCAGGAGAGGGATAATTGGAGTTTACTTTTGCACCACAGGGTGTTTACCTAACCTCTTCTATCCTATCACTGTATCCCCTTTTCCCACAGAAAGTACCCTAGGATAATAAAATTAAAATATCACATTATATAACTCATTTACTTTATTATATATATCACACACACAATTACTATTCTCGGAATAACAATACCAACACTCAATTTGGGTATGAATTTTTAATAATTTTGGATTTCTTCAAAAATTTTAAATAAAAGGAAGATGAAGAGGTGAAGTTGAAACTAGCTAGCTACCACCTGGGACTTGGGTTTTTAGTCAGATAAAAGGAAAGAATGTTAATGAATTCCAGCCAGAGACTCTAAACACACAAAAAAATTAAGAAAGCTTTAGAGCATTTTATTCCTCATAATTTTTTTCAATATTTATTATCTTTTTTAAAAAATAATATTGTGCTCTTCCACCGGAGGGCTACACGCCGCCGCTCCTGTTGCAGCCATGTCTCTAGTGATCCCCGAAAAGTTCCAGCACATTTTGCGAGTACTCAACACTAACATCGATGGGCGGTGGAAAATAGCCTTTGCCATCACTGCCATTAAGGGTGTGGGGCGAAGATACGCTCATGTGGTGTTGAGGAAAGCAGACATAGACCTCACCAAGAGGGCAGGAGAACTCACTGAGGATGAGGTGGAGCGTGTGATCACCATTATGCAGAATCCACGCCAGTACAAGATTCCAGACTGGTTCTTGAACAGACAGAAAGACGTGAAGGATGGAAAATACAGTCAGGTCCTGGCCAATGGTTTGGACAACAAGCTCCGTGAAGACCTGGAGCGGCTGAAGAAGATTAGGGCCCACAGAGGGCTGCGCCACTTCTGGGGCCTTCGTGTTCGAGGCCAGCACACAAAGACTACTGGCCGCCGTGGCCGTACTGTGGGTGTGTCCAAGAAGAAATAAGTCTGTAGGCCTTGTCTATTAATAAATAGTTTATACATCTTCAAAAAAAAAAAAATAAAAATAAAAATAATATTGTGTTTTCGGTGAAAGTTTATGCAGCAAATTAGGTTCCCATTTGACAATTTCTATATAAATTGTTCAGTGTCATTAGTTATATTTTTCACAGTGTGTCAACATTCTCTGTAATTGTATTCTGGCTGTTCCGTTTCCAGTGCTCTAGTTTCCCTGCCCCCTTATCGTCTCATCTTTGCATTAGACTAATTGTTGACTTTTGGTCTGTCTTAGGCTAGGTTCTCTAGAGAAGCAAAACCAGTGAAGTGTATAAACATATATATAGAGAGGTTTATGTCAAGGGACTGATTCACACAGTTGTAGAGGCTGGAAAGTCCCAAGTTCTTGGGCCGGGCTGGAGGCTTCTCCTGACTCACATAGCTGCAAGGGCTGGTGAACTCCAGATTGGCAGGTCAGACAGCAGGCCTCTGGCTCATAGGCTGTGGAGGCCGATGAAGCCCAAGATCAGCGGGTAAACTGCTAGCTCAAGTCCCAAGATTTGGAGGTCAGATGAACAGGAGCCAGCTGCAGGATCCAGAGGCAGCAAAAGCCGGAGAGCTTTGCTAGAAAGTCCACCTGTATTGGATGCAGGCCACACCCACAAGGAAACTCCCTTTCAACTGATTGGCTGCTCATAACATCTCATCATGGAGGTGATTACATTATATTTCAGATCTCATTGTGGAGGCAATTACATCATTCCATAGCAAGCGAACTACATTGTAACTGTCAAACCACTGAGAATCATAGGCCAGACAAGCTGGCACACAACCTAAACCATCACACGGTCTCATATAGATGGTTTTTTAATGGAGCACTGTACTCACTGATAACATCCTTTATTTTATGTACCAATCTGTTATTTTGCTAATTGTTCCTCATAATTTTTGAAGATCTTTGAAATACAGTTTTTGTCAGTTTTTTTTTCTGCTTTTTGGTCCCCGAGTTTCCAGCATAAGGCATTTATTGTTGAAGGCTCCACCAAAAGCTTATGAGAGGACTCTTCCGGATAACATTTTCTCTTTGTCAACATGTCAGGAAGTCCAGTCAACACAAAAGTCAAATAAAATTCTTTCCCAGTGTTTACAAATATAGAAACCTAAAGTCATTGGTTTAAAAATGTGCCTATTCCCTCTTACACTTTTGCTTTTAAAAGAAGTTAGGAAGGCGGGGGTTGGAGTCCATAACTTCTGTCTCCTCGAACAAGAAGAAACTTTTTAAAGAAGGTTTGGGTCAGGAATTGCACACTGTGCTCAGAAGCCCAATGAGTCCAAGCATTTACTCAACCTCACAAAAATCATAGCACAAACCTGGTGTATGAAAATTCTGGAAAGTTTAAATCAAAGTCATGCCAAAGTAAAAATTATCATTACTTTCTTGGCTGGATGCAACTTCAGTCTTCAAGAGCATTTTGTGGCTCTGTAGTCTGTATTTGAGTTTTTCACCTTGCATACCTGTAATATTTTGAAGAGTAGATCCAACTGGGCTTCTTTTCATAGTGACATCCGCCTTCTGTAAGCCTCTGTGTTTTTGTTCCATAAGTTATAAACAGAGATGTTCCTGGCCATTGTAGTGGATGAGCTGAAGCTTTGGATCTTTTTTTCAGTGAGGAAGCTCAAAGTTTTATGAGAAAACAACTGTAAAAATTTAACAAAACATCTGTGGAATAAGCACAGCATCCTGTCTCATGAATCCAGAATCAGGCTCCACCAGGTTTCTTCCCTTTTCTTTTCCCTTCCCTGCTTGTAAAAACCAAACATTTAAGATAATTTAAGATGCGGGAAAGGACAGCCGCCCACCCTGTTCTCCAATGCCTTCTTCTCTTTAATAAATTTGTAGAGCAGTTTTAGTTCAGGTCTTGGATGATACTTTGCAATCAGTTCTTTGATTGGAAAATTGCCTTGCACGCTATTAGGCTTTCTTATGAACTGATAAATCCCTGTTGACAATAGCAACAGTACAGTCTACAAGACGTGTGATCATGTCACTCGTCTGTTCAAATTCCTGCGATGGTCCCTATTTCATTCAGAATTAAAGTCAGAGTCCTTACAATAGTATACACGTGTGCTATTTTAGACTGACACAAAGATGGAGAATCAGATGCCCAGCTAAAAGCTCAAGGAGTTTTGTAACTAAGGGGAAGAATGCGTTTATGGTTACTGGAAGAGTTGGCAGTCTCTGCCAGATGTTAAAATGATATAAAGCTATTATAATTAAAATTATGGTCTGTTATTGTCATGGTTTGCATTATGTCCCCCAAAAAATGTGTGTATCAGTTTGGCTGGGCCCTGATTCCCGGTACTGTGTGATTTTCCTGTATGTTGTAAACCTGCCTCTATGATGTTAATGAGGGAGGATGGGTGGCAGTTGTGTTAGTAAGGCAGGACCTG